AATGTGTACGGTGTCAATGCGCTTTCAATTAAGTCGATTATTCTGTGTGTATAAACGTAGTATATGTTTAACTTCAGTTGAACCCACATAGGTATGACCGTTTAGCTGCACTGTGATCAACTTGGCGTTGGCTCTATTCAAAAAGATAAACCTGTATAATACCACCCACTACTCCCCAGTACTGACTGTGTTCTGAGTTTACATACTGGTAATTGAAAGACTCGAAAAAGATTGACCGAATCTTTGCAAATAAAAGAGCATTACCTAGACAGATATCTTGCGTACAACTGGTGTTTTGGTACAAATACCCTTTGTCTTCCCTTAGTGAACATTCGTTTAGATACCTTTTGAAGAGGTCTACTTGTATAATATGACATGTTTTCTGTTCTACCTCACACGGAGTTAACTGCGTCATAAGTCCAGAAAAAAAAACACCTCACAGTTTCCTGCTTCCTGGACCATCTCTATGTTATGGAATTTATTTCAAAAAGACCTTAACAGCCTGGAGATGGCCTGCTAGAAGCGATAGACGTTAAGCTCCAACAAGGGAGATGATTTACGATATGCACCTTTCGAATTGAAGGACCCGCCATCAGGGCATTACAGTGGTCCCCTATTATCTCAAACCGAACTATCTTTCCAAACCCACTTGGCTATGAAAGAAATAATTTTCTTACAGGGAACAGGGCACGGATGCACAACTCTTACTCGATCCGGTTATAATTAATCATCAGTTGGAATTTAGCAACAAATATTGACAAACCGCCATGGATAGCCATAAAAACTTCGATCACTTGATTGCATTGCGAAAGAAGCTCAACGTTAATTTTCTGTGTTTTCTTGCCAATTAATAAATGTTTCAGCATTTCTATGTATGTTCACATGCATGTCTGTACATATTGGTGGGGTAAAAGAAAATCAAGACATGAACAAATACGCAATGCGTAGCCAGGCGGACATTAACCAAAACCGCATGGTATTCCATACCTTAAGTAAGTACAATGTGTGTGTGTATGTACGTAAGTCTGTTTGTACGTATACGATCAGAGTATAAACTCGCACACAGGTGTCAGTAGATATGTAGCAAGTTATGAAAAGAAAATTCGTACATTACCGCGCGCTTGGAGTAGCTGATTTCACACTTCAAAAATTGAAAAGAAATGTTGCACTATTTGATAGATACATTTATTGATGCCCCGAGTTGGGTTAGGTGGCAGCCCCGTGCAACCGGCGCTATCTAGGACAATTTGGAGATTATCTTTTGGCATTCTGAACGGCTCCTAATACTTAAACGATAAAACTTTCCGAACCGTTTATAAGTATATTTACAAGTCCGGCAAATCTCAAAGCACCAGAGTTCCTTCGGGCTCCTAAGGATGTGAGAGCCGAAGTGCCGCAACGTTAGCCTCGCAAACGCTGGCCACCTAAGAAGGTAGCGTTGAGATGATTCCACCTCGTCATCTTCCAGGCAACTGTCACGCACGGATACCGATTGGACAGTGACACATTAAAGCCCCCAGAAAAAGTGAGAGCTATGGCTTTGTGAGTTTGAGGAGTGCTCTCGACCGCCCTCTCCGCACCCTCGGTCAGACGGACCTTGGGATCGCACATGTCCTGATATTGAGGCCCATCTAACCAAGAGTGTACCGAAAATGCTCAATGGCACCCCCAGCCGCTCTTTATCCGGCAATAACGATTCACGAGTGCTTTTTCTGGCCAATTCGTTAGCCACGCAATGTCGCTGTGACCCGTAATCCAAATAACCCTAATACAGAAGTATTCCGACGCGACCGAGAGAGAGAGCATACATTCCTTAAACAAGTTAGAGCGCACCTCCAACTCGCTCAAGGCCCTGATAGCCGCTCGGCTATCAGAATAAATGCTCACCTCCCTGACGGTCATAGCACTGTGGAGCAGTGAATCTACCACCTCCCTGATAGCAGCCACTTCCGCCTGGAATACACTGCAGAAGTCCCGGAGACTGAACGTAATGCTGATGGAGTGCTCCCGCCAGAAGACCCCACCACCAGCCCTGCCGTACAGTTTCAATCCCTAAGTCGGTAAGCCACTCGGTTTGCCTGAGCCTATTATTTAGGTGCTCAGAGTACATTTCCAAGAGTATTGACTGTATGTGACATTACCCAGATTCTATTTATGGTTTATGTCTTGCAATTTGACCAAAGTACTGAGACATTAAATGAATTTGCGTGTTTGTTTGCCACACAAAAACTAATATTTGCGGATAAATATGGTCGGTCGGTTGGTTCGACAGCCGAATAGCAATAAAGTGGCTGGAGTGAGCTGCCCCCAGGCAGTGGCATAAGCAACGGTTTTTCTAGTATAACGCAGCATTAAAATAGTCGAATTTGTTTTCGCTGACTGCGACACAGACAGGAACCACATTTTGATCATTGTGGAGTTGCGTTAGTAAAAAAGGGTAGCAAAAGTGTATGTGCATACGGCGGGAGTGGGAGAAATTATAAGTCCACTTTTGCTTCTGGCGGGAAATCGTCTGCTTGATTGTTTGAAAACCTCATCTTTTTTGCATATTTTACAGTTTACAGTGACTCAAACAAATATTCACATTTTGATTTTCACAATGTTTTTTTCAAAGTTAATTTCTTTTACATAACCATATAATATAACCGTTTAAATCACAACATAATATAACCATCAAACATAATCAAAATTTCAAACTTTATACAAAATTTAAAAAATTTCAACAAATTTTTCAAAAATTTTCACACTTTTCAATCTGAACGTCCACAACCATAAAATTTTAATAAGACATTTAAGATATTTCGTCAGAAATATGTCTATGTAAATTGGAATTCTGTTGACCAACGATACTCTCCCATTTTGAAATTGCCACCAGCTGTACTATAAAGTTTTAAAGACAGACTCATCATCGAAGCGGATCATTGTTTCCGCCAGGGAGTGAAGAGGAAAAAGTTCTTCAAATTTATTTCAGTTACTCGATCAACCTTGCTATGAAATGCCAGATCATTCAAGAACTTCATCGCGGACATAACACTTTCGTTAGATTATTTAAGACGATGTTGGAAGTATGCCCACCGAACCATATATAAGCAGACAAATCGTGAACGTAAATTGTTGGCTAAAATGTTGGACCAAAATGTTTCAATAAAAACGAAGTTCGCCGG